CGATATGTGAATGACATTGGTTTCACCTTTATCTTCTTCCTTTTGGGTATCTAGTGCAGCATTTGATTATTAATACGTCTTTGACATGGATTTTTACATTGCAATGAGTTGTTAAACTCGAGTTCAATGCCTGTTTGTTTAGGATTTTTTGGGTATTCTGAATCGATGCTGAAGCTGGTAGGCATGCCCTTGGTTATATGGATGTATGATTCTTTGTAACTTATAGGGTAAAATGTACATTTCGCAATAGCCCCGTTTCTCTCCTTATCCATCTTTCCTCCAAACTTTCCCTTTCTCTGTTTGATGGTGTGTTAATACCTTATTTCCATCGTCTTTTGATTTAACTTTGATAGCATATGATCTGATGCATATTAGTTGAAAAAAAAAAAATTAGTTATCTGCAAATGGGATGTCAAAAAACTCAATCCCAACAGTGTGATGGAGTCAAGAATTTCTGTTGGGGGCACAAATTGGCCTTGTTCTTTGTAATGCATATTTCGGTTTGAAAAATTGTTAAATGACGAGTTAAGAATAACGAGCTGAAGATGACTGTTGAAGACGTGTTAAATAATCTCTCTCTCTTTTTTTTTTTTTTTAATCTTTAATTTCTATTTTGATATCACCTTCTGCAACTTATCTTTTGACCATATTTCAATTGTTGAGATAAGTGTATAGTACCATTTCGAAGTATTCATGGCAAATTTCATAAAGCATTATTTGGATTGAGATTAAAATAACAAGTCAAAGATATTTGTTACAAATGAATGTAATAGACTTATCTTTAATTTTCATGTCTGCGTCATTTATTCCGACTTATTTTTTAGGGGAAGAATTTTTGGTTATGTTCTTGGCAAACTCTATAGCACAACGAAAAAATCATTAATGGGCGATTTCAAAATAATGAGTATAGAATGATTTGGTACATGGAGCATACTTGCCCTTCCCAACCTTAAGTGGGGATCGGGGGTGGGGATGGAGTACATTGTCGCGTCTATTGTCATCCCTAATTACAAAATCGAGGATAATTATCTCTAACGTGTATTGTATGTTACTCTCTTCTAAACAAGTAACATTACTAACCACAACAAATTATAGACTATAGTTTGGTAACATCCAATCAAAAGTTTTGCTCTGGGTGAAGGAAATTGTAGTGTTGCAGCTGGATCATCTCCCCACGAGCCTCTGGATCAAACTGGCATCTGTAGTAGCTGCTTACAAATCAAACAGAACATCAATTCAACTTGAAGATTAATTTCGATGATAAAAAAGATTCTTGTACATAATTTTTTATATATAAGGGCATCCACCTTCTTACAAGGCATGGGGTCTACTTGAATATTTTTCTTGAACGAGCCCCATTCATGTGAGAGAGTGGACACCCCTATGTACTAAAAATTATGTATCCCTAACATTTCCCTAATTTCAAACCCAAAACTCAAAAAATTTATCGATTTGGACGGAAGAAATAATGGAACTCAAACTAGTTAAACATGTTTCATGGTTTAAAAAGAAGCGAGTTTGTGGGTCACTCAATTCTCTTGTCTAGGAACCAAAGTCCCCCTCCGTTGATAGAGCTACAATGTCACGAAAATATATACATACCTCCCATCCACGCCGATAATGATCACCGTGTTCTTTTGCTGCTGGCCAAAAGTAACAATATTTCGAATACCTTCTTGAGGTAGTCGAAACCGAGTCTCGGACCATTGAGATTTTAAATACTTGGGAATACCTACATTTTAGTAATTTCAAACTTTATTTAGTCTTAAGTTACAGAAATGAAAACAGAAAATAAAAGCACATAGAAATGTAATTTTTGAAAGAAAAAAATTAGTACACGAAATATTTGTTTGAAGGTCTTGTTAGTATCAACCGTGCTATGCTCTTCAAATTCTTTTGACATAATGGTTGACCGATACTCAGAATGGATTGGGGCCCACTTTTTTTTTTGTACTTTTTTTATTCACGTGGGACCTATGTGCATGTGAAAGGATGTAAATCATTCTGTCAAATTTTAGGGCAAAGTAGTTTAATTCTGTTAGTATTTATAGTATGTCTCCGATTATGTTACTCTTTAGTGGAAGCTTGCATTTAAGTTAATTGAAGTCCCCCAACAAAATCCTTGGTCTAATGTAATTCGAATATTATCGCCTAAAGTTTCAATGTAACCAGGTTAGTTCATATTATCAACAGTGGAGTTAAGCAAACAAATTACTCACAAAAAGTACCAGTAATTAGGGAGAGAAATGAAGCAGAAGTTGGAGAAAAATTGTTTGGCTCAGCTGCTGCTGCCCGTGAATCGACATTTAGTCTGAAAACATGGACAGTAGCCTTATCACTTGAAACAGCAAGCCATTGAACATCCATAGAGAAGGAAATGCTGTAAATCTCTGCTCTTCCAGAACCCCTTCTCAACTACATTCATCAACAAATCAACTTAATTAAAGATATAATAAAAACATAGAATCACTATAATAACAGCGGATTAAGTGTTAACAATGCGTTTGGGTACTGAACTTGTGACTCATGTGCCCTATTTTGGTTACCGAACTTACAATTTCTTAACTCATTAGTCACTCTACTCAACTCCGTCTTTAAACTAATGAAACTTGCACATGATGGTCGAAAATCCCATATAAAATAATTTCAGATATTAAGTTTAAATATGACTTGAAAAGTTGATAAAAATTATGATTTCCATAAAATATAGTTAAATTCAAGATTCATTCTTGGTGTATATAAGGGAATCCATAATGGACACCAGACGTCCCTTATTGGAGGGATGCCTGTACTTAGTGATATACACTTAGAATAATCCTAAATTTAACTTCAACATTTTAAGCTTTCCAAAGTACTAAATTATACATAAAACATACCTCATAAAGTAACGATTCGTCCCAAGTATTAAACACCCTCACCAGCGTCCCCTTGCTACTCGCGGTAGCCAAAAACCTTCCGTCGTGTGTCAGTGCAATACATGCAATATTCGAATCATGTGCTGTTATCATATTTGTCCTCTTCGACGCGCAATGTTCCACCCTAACTTCTCCCTGGTGGAGTCCCAAGCAGGCCAAAACCTTCTCCGACTCCCGTGATATCTCGCACAATCCCTTCGGATTTGACATAGTATCTATCTGACGTAACAATTCTAATTCCTCGAAATTGTACACATATACTTTGTTTAACAAGATCACAACAATCTGATCCTTCCAAAGGCGAACCGACTTGACTTTTGATCGGAAACAGAACTCAGCAATGCACTGAGATCGATAATCATCCCAAATCAAGACTTTGTTTAATGTGAACTGTGGAGTAGGCCCACAACCAACTATGGCCGTTATCTTACCTTTGAACAGCATTTGAATCACCCCAATGCCACCGCCAACGATGATGCTGGAGGTGGGAAGACTCGTGAACTCGCGGTGGATGACTTCGCGAAAAGGGTCGGAGTCGAAGATGATGAAGCCGCTAGTGGTGCCGACGGCGAAGTAGTCACGGCGTTGGGTGAAAGAGAGATGGAGGACAGTAGGTGGTGAGGTGGGATTACGGTTTTTGGAGTTTAAGATGGTGGTAATGGCTGAAGTAGTTGGTGTGGACGACATGGTGAATCGAATTTTTGCTTTTGATTATGATTTTTGTGCAATCTATACGAGAAGAATATGAAGGTTATGAGTTTTATATGTATAGGAGGAATACTAGTTTGTAATACAAGTAATACTAGGACAGGGATAAAGTTTCCATTAGCAGCAGGGACTGTGAATAAGATTGATATTTTTATTTTTATTTTTAAATTTAAAACAAATTTGATCCAAATTTTAAAAAAAGATAAATATAAACTTCCTTTTTTTGATTAAATTATGGGTTTATTTTTTGTTTTCTAACCTTAATATAATAAGCTATTTATTTTAATAAAAAGCAATACTTCAACAAATTGAGAACAAAGAAAATATTAGGGTTCGTTTGATTGTAAAGATGGAATTGAATTGAATTGAAAACGAATTCCAGGAAATTGAATTGTTTATAAATTATTTTCTTGAGAATTGTAAATTATTGCATTTGATTAGTATAATTTTTCGCGTGGAAAATGTTGAAATAAAAGTGTTTTTGATCGTTTGGCTTTATTTTACATGAAAATTGTCAATTAAATGGATATAATTTACTGATGTTGGGTATGAAATTTACTTCCATTACAAACAAAAAAAATAAACTTCAAGAAATGGTAGACCATAGGTTGGCCCAACCCAGTCCTCTCATACATGGAAATTGTCAGTTAAAGGGAAATATTTTTTTACAATAATTCTTAAAATTTATTTGCATTACCCAAAAAAAGATTTAAAAAAATGCTACACTAACTGAGAATTCAAATTCTCACAATTTTGGTAAGAATTGGAATTCAAGGATTTGATGGAAAATGCTTATGTGGTCAAGAAAGGATGAATTCATTTTCCATGGAAAATTTCACATATCGAACACTACAAAATTTGGAAAATGATATTAATTTTCCATTTTCCATGGAAAAAGGTGTCCTATCAAACACACCCTTAATGAATAATAATAACGTCTTTGAATAGAAGTTTAAAACACATGGATAATTTATGAAAACCCAAATCTGTATTTGTTAGAAACTTCCACCCAATAATTTGCGCTTTAGAATTTTGCTTTTATTTGTAACTTACCTTTTTTAATATTAAATATTAATACATTTGTTAAGATAACTATGTGAAATAAAGAAGCTTCCGTTAATGTTCATACATTAATTTTTGGGGTTAATTACACAACCATGGAACATTTTGGGGGCTAATTTCAAAAATCAGGTGATTGAAAAGTATTTCAAAAATGAAGTGTAACTCAAATAAGTTGCTACAGTGTGTGTAATTTTTAGACGTGTAATTTACAAATTTTTTTGAGAAATCCTACATTTAATTTAATGATTGTAACTTGCACTATGTAATTTCTTTGAAATTATAATTTATATTATGTGCTCTAGTTTTATTGTATGTACTTTTTTAAAATTATAACTCATACTATATGTTATTACTATATTAGTATAAGTAAATTCTTCAAAATTCAAACTTGTTACACTCTTATGTATTATCTCGACATCGCAACCATCATCTCACCATCACCTCCACCACATCAGCACCTACAATCATCCCATCAATACAAGAAAATTACTTACACCATTACTAGTGTATTTGTTTTTGTCATCAGTAAAATATGAGGATGTTTGGTGATTATTAAAATTATATTTTTTAGGTGATTGTGATTAGAAGTTTTTGAAATGTGTAAATGAAAAGTTGTGGAACCAATGAAAATTGCGATTAATACTGATTGTTTGATTTTGATTTAAATTAAAATCAGATTTTAATCAAAACCAAACATGGATTTAATGTAATTTCTTTAAAATTGCTTCTCACCCCTTCACTGCCATCTTAGCATTGCCACCATCTAGGGATGTCAAACGGGCCGAGCGGCTCGTCGGCTTGACCGCTCTGCTCGTTAAAACTCGGCTCGTGGGCGGCTCGATCCCATGAGCCCAATAGCCGTTTTGGCCAAAAATATGATTTTTTTTTTAAAAAAAGGTACAAAAAAAAAATTTTAAAATTTTTTTTTAAAAAAAGATGAGCTCGCGAGCGGCTCGTGGGCCGAGCTGAGCCCACGAGCTCGTGCCATCACTACCACCATCACCATAACAATATTATCACCCGCACCACCCCATCAACACAAGAAAATGAAATACACTCCTATTACAGATGTAATTTTATTATATTATGATTTATTAATCCATTCATCACCATCAATGTCATCACCACATCCGAAACCTAAATCATCACAAACACCAATGTTTGTCACAAACCTCCACAAAAACAAATTAGCATTGTCACAAAACATCACAAAGCCACTACCCTCACAACCATCTACACCTTTCAAAGGAAAAAAAAAAAGGTTATATAATGAAACACCTAATTTTTGAATTTTATAGCCTAATTTCCTCATTTATTTCTCTTAAAAATCCATCTACAAATGGCTTGGGGTTTGTCAGTAACTCTACATTTTCTCTTAAACATAATTTAGGAAAGTAATTTTTCAAGTTAATTTATGAGGGGGATGCAAAATTTCAAGTTGCAACCAACCAAGGATTGCAAGAGAAACATCATCATTCTAAATACCACTACACTAAAAATCACTTTTTGCAACGGGCAAAAAATGTTGCTGTAGACCTATCGCAACGTTCAGACGTCTGTTGTGGGTTTCAACGTTGCCGTAGAGCCAAAAGTTTTGGCAACGTTCATTGCGCGTTGCGAAAACTTAGTTTTGGCAACGTGCATTGAACGTTGCCAAAACATCTTTCGGCAATGTTCAATGCATGTTGCGAAAACTGGGTATTGGCAACGTGCAACGAATGTTGCCAAAACATCCTTTCGGCAACGTGCAATGCACGTTGCGAAAATTGGGTTTTGGCAACGTTCAATGAACGTTGTAAATAAGACTTTTGGCAACGTTCAATGAACGTTGCCGTAGGTCTTCCACATTTTTTTTTTTTTGTATAACAATTTACCAAATCAACTACAAAATGAAAAAGACTTTCTGAGCCTTCAATTGATATAATTTTATTAATCCATACAAAATAGTCAAAACGCATCATTGTAATAAATCGAAGAAAAATTTTGATTTACATATTGCCCATCAAATAAATATCATCTTACACTCCTCTTAAACAATAGAAAATTATTGTATAAAAAAAGATAATTTACAACTTGTTGTCTTCAAACTGTTGGGTTGGCTAGCTCTAAAAAATCTTTCCCGTTACTTTCTTCTTGGCCTGCACCTATCTTTTGAATGCAATGGATAAATTCAACCTTCATGATCGGCACAGAGAAGCTTGTCCTCAGAAAACTCAGATCGAGTATGAATCTCCACCATAGCCCGGTTGAGGCGGCGGAGGATAACCGTATCCAGGAGGCGGGTACCCACCTGGTGGTGGATAGCCATACCCCGGATGAGGAGGATATTGTTGATATGCCATCCCAGGAGGGGGAGCACCGTATCCCGTTCCCTGATGAGGCGGCATGCTTCCTCCGGCAACATGTGGTGGTGGCGCTGGATACGCAGTCATAGGCTCATCCACATGCTTTTTTGTCTCCACTTGTTGCGTGAATTTCTCCCCAAATTTATACGAAAACTTGATTTTGCCCTTAGGTTTTCCGGACGAGGTTGTAAGCTGATATTCAACCACCCTTTCTCCACCGGGATTTGAATTGACATTCTGGAAAAGCTCGTCGATCGGGACGGAAACCTCGCCAATCACCTTGTCCCCTCCGATTGACCGATCTGCCATGAGTTGAAAGTGAAGGTATAGGCCAGGCTTCGTCAAATACGGTTCATCAACTACAAAATTCACATGGTGATTCCACTTTGGATGGGTACCGCAATCCTTGTCGATGGAAGTCTTCTTCTTCGACTTAGGATACCCAGCAATCGACACAACAGCGTAAACATCCATCTTGGAGAAAAGACTGACATCCTTTATACCTTCTGCCGATATCACCGTGATGTCTAATGGCCGATACTCCATCTTGTCACAAACTGGATATTGAGATTGAGAATTGGAATTGGGTTTTATTCAGATAGAGAAAAGCGCTGCAGAATTAGGAATTCTTCTGAATTGTAGCTGTACATCGAAAGTTGCGGGGAACGGAGTATATATAGGAATGAGGATGTGGTCGCCTAAGGAAAGGAAAATCGTAGGAAGGATGCAAATAAGGCATGTTTGGGTGGGTATACGCTAGTCAAACACGCTTATAATTTATATGTATCATTTGCCTCGGATTCTGTTTTATTTTTTGTATCTTTTCTAAAATTATAAGTTGGTTGAAATAAGTGATAGATAAGTAAATAATACTTACTGGTCTTACAAAATATATGGATAAGGGAGATTCATTTCATCCATGACATGTTATAGTAATCACATCAATTTCAATTGAAAATTTGGCATTCATTAAATTAAATTTCATTTTCTTCTCTTATTTTTAATCACATATCTTCCATATAATAATATTTTAAAATTTTTAATTCTTTCCCGACCACTCATTCTAAAACAAAAATACTATTCCACACATTTTAATTTTAAAAAATGGGGGCTTAAACTTTAGTTTTCTCAATAAGCTTACTAAAGATTTAGTTTAAAATTTTGTCCAAACATCACCCAAATCAAAGAAAAATACATAATTTACTATCATACCGTAACACATTTTCTAAATAATCGTTGCGTGACAGGTTATATTGCCATAACTCTAGATCATAAATGTGCTTAATATGTTTATCAACTCATTTTATCCGAACATGAATTATGTTCAGAGCTTCACTTTTTATTCACTTAAAAGAAACATGCAATTTAAGTAAAATATGCGATTAAAAGCATCTCCATAAAATTCTTTAAATATAAAATATTCTTTATTTTAAAAAGTCAACTCTTAAATAAAGAATATCGGGAAGATAATGCTCTATGGATAAATGACATATTTATCGTGCACCGTTCTTTACATAAAGGGAATATTTTTTCTATAGCCCTCGAAAGGATGATGAGAGAATAGTAATGTCTATCCCTATCCGTCGCTTTTCTTAATTTGGGCTGTTTCGAGAATTTCAAATATTCTTTCCGTGTCTATTGCGTGTGGACGAGTGGATGGAGACACGCGGTGGGTGCAGGACACTCAATCTACGAACGAATTTTCAATGCAATTGTGGGCATAACGATTAATTATATGGGCCGACTATTCTCGAATTTTGTAGAAAATGATATAAAGTCCCTATTTGATTTAGGTTAGAAAATACAAATAATTTTAACTAACGCGTACAATTTATGTTACCTTTTTACTCACAAATTTCAATAAATCTTTTTTATCAGTACATCGAAACTCTTTTTAGGCTTGATGAAGGCCTAAAAAAGTATGCTCTCAATTTAGCTTCAAAACTCTTTTTTTTCCTATGTATTTATTTTAATCATACATTCATATGATAAAATATTTTACAAGTTAATTTAAAAAAATTTCATCCTTTTTAACTACACATATTTTTTCAAAAATCACTATTTAAAATTACATTTTACTCAAATAATGATTATCAAACAGGGCTTAGAGTTGACCTACTCATGAACTAGTTAATACAGTGGGTTAGTAAATTCAAGCTAGTGGTCTATTTTTTTTATTTATTAAAGAGTTTGATTTTCATTATTTTCAAAATATATTTTTTTCTCTCTACTTTTTAATCATTAATCTTTAATAAAAAATATTGAAGGCTTTCTCTTTTGTTTCTCATCAACAATAGTTTTCTTGCCTTTTGATTTGACATCTTTCTTTTTGTTTGGCCCCTTCCTCTTTTTTATTTCTTTCCCACAAGAAGGGATTAGGATGAGAGGAACCGATTGTCATAATCAAAGCATTTCCACTTCTAGCATGTAGAATGGTTTTCGTGTTTTGGAGCTCTTTCATGAATTCTATCAGAGATATGTCTATCTTATGTAGATTATAATCAATTATAAACTGTGAGAACATCTCAAGGAAAGTCTCAAGGACCATGTCAATCCGCATTTTAATGTATTTCCTAAAACCTTTGTAGTATTGAAGTGACCAATCATTGTTAACATATGGTCCATTACAGGTGTGCTTGGTTTTATGTGTGTGTTCATAATTGCTCTAGTGGAAGCTTGTCTAGCTTTTCGATTTTTATATCCAAATATCTCTTAAAGACTTTCCATTATATCAAAAGCAGTTTCCATATTATGATGTTTCTATTGAAATATAATTGACATGAATGTCAAAATGTAATAATGGACCATTTCATCAGAATGACACCATTTGCAGCATTTTGTGATTCCATGGAGTCAATTTTAGGGGCTTCTGGAAAATCTCCAATTAACATAAATTTGAGTTTTTCAGCAGTAAGAATAGTGTTTAGGTTCATTTTCCAGTCAACATAATTTTTTCCCACAAGTTGATTTTTGTTAAATATTATTAATAATGGATTAAGCGACATTTGCCACAAAATTAATTATTTGCGTATTAATAAAATGAACAATAATCTTTGTATGATGCATGTATATAGGCATGCAAATATAGACTCAAAACTATATTTTTAATCAAATACTTTAAACCCCTACAACTTTTAACACGTCCTTTATAGGAGCTCAATAGAGTTGCCGGCAATTTTAGAACCCTCTCACTCATTTTATTGAGTTAGGCATGTCATGCCACAATAAAAATGATGATTGATTATTATTTGGCTTATAAGTAATTTTGTTGGAACCTTCTATGGGAAGTCTTTCAATATTTCATATATAAATGTAATAACATCCATTTATAATTGTAAAATATCCAAAATATATGAGATGTTATCTATATGATAATCACTCATTATTCCATTTTAAAATATTCTGTTTCAAAATCCAATTTCAGTTAATCTCAAATAATGTAGTCTTCTTATAGGGAGACTAATGTAATTTGAGACTAGACATACATATTTTAATAAAATTTGGACAGCGAAGGAGGCCACATAAACCCTCTCCCACTTATTATTTTGAACCATTGGGCTTTCGTTTAGTAATTAATCGACCAAATATAAACAATTACAATGGCACCAAATTATTAAATATAATTTTTCAACCTTTTCTAATTAATTTAGAGTGATGAAAAGTCATACAATATTAATGCATATGATTTTAGAGTATCAGGTGGTATTTCATTTAATCTACACGACATGTGATAATTATTCATTCATTCATCATAGATAAAACAATAAAAGCAATAATTAAATGAATTATAATCACTTATGACCAATACTAAAAATTTAAATTACAACAAGAATTAAAGCATTCCATTGGACCACATTTCGGCCCAATTTTTCAATTTCCTTGTAATCCAACTCATGAAAGGTCCAACATTGTGGGCCAATTTAAAATTATTTTTGCCCCTTTAATCTTTGTGGCTGTTACCTTGTGCAATTTACAATTGTTACCACAATTACGTGTAATTGTGAGCTTGACCTATTATCACGTCGTCATAAATGTGACTATCTAATTTTTGAAACTTTTTCATAAGTTTCTTATTTTTGAAAATGTATCTTTAAAGCTTTTGCAACTATTTATTTATTGGATTTTTTCCTTTTATAGAATTCCTTTGAGACTGGTATTTTGCATAGAAAGCCCACATACAAGAAGGAAAATGGACTAATTTTTTTACATAATATCCTCATCTTTAACAAGCGGTATCAAAGCATGCAAAAATTTTGTTCTTGGACCTAACCCTCCTCTTTTTTTCTTGGGCTTAGTTAAAGAGAGAGAAAGAAGATAACAAGTTGTGAAAGTCCGTACAAATTATCCATGTCATACTTGTACAAGACTTTGGTAATTCCCTCCACAAATCTTGTATGAAATTTACTTTCTTCGCATGACTTTCCTCTTTTAATAGCATGTTCTCAATTATATGACCTTTTCATCAAGTTCCTTCTCGAAATTGTTAGCCGTGCTGAGGATTAATTTCTTGATTCAAAAATCACATCTTCAATTACTTCAATTTTGCATTACAAGCGGTTGGTATCCCTTATGCGTCAAGCACGTCTGATCGAATTACATTTTCACGCATTTCATTTTTCTCGTCACCTAGAGACACTAGACCCTCTTTAAATATAACAAAGATATACATATTCCTGGGTTTGACTCGCTCTGCACTTTGACAGTTCAGTTGGAGGGCTCTTGAACCTTGGCCAGTTTAGGGCACAACCCACGATTTACCCGATCTACATGAAGAGGGGCTGGATCGTAAGCTCCAGAATTAGTCGCTGTAAGGCGGACATTTAGGTATAAAAAAAAAAGAAAAAAGAAAAAAGGATATACATATTCCAATCTAACAAGATATCCAATACTTCTCTTCCATTTCTTCTTAAAATTACTAAGCATCATGACTGCTTCGTAAGCTTATAGTCCACATCTTCCTAATGGAACTCAAAATAAGTTTATTATACGTCTATTTATACTCAATTAAACAATCGAATTATGGTTCCAGCATTTGGGAAGAGATAAAATACTAATGAAGCTACAAAAATTCATTCGAAAATGAATTCGACATGAACAAGGTGAGTTCAGCAATGTTAAATGTCAAAAACTTGCATGGCAAATGTTCAACTAAAAATCATGGAAGTCAAATCACCATTATCCCAATGTGGGCAATTAGATATTCTTA